GCGGGCCAGGAGAGGTCTGCCACGCCATGTGGTCACCTCCGGGGCAGGCGGGAATCGAACTCATGCGGAAGCGGCTTTAGATTCTCAGTGCTGTGTTTTAACCCGCTGCGCCACCAGGGAGGGCCTACACATCTGCACTTTTAAGCTAGGATTTTAATTGGTTCACTTAATTTATCAGTAAATATTTGTTGAATTCTGTTTTTAAAGCACAGCCTAAGACCCTTCAGAAAATTACCTTCCCAGTAAGTAGATACAGTTGGGTAACAGACTTACTAATAAATGCTAAACTAAATGTTTTGCATCTGAACTAAATTGCAATATTACAATATTACAAAATCTAAATTAAGATTTGAAAAATTGATAGCAAAGAAGAGGTTGAGGGCCCAACATGTCAAACTAATTAGTGTCATGTCTTTGTCATGAGGTTAGTCATTTGGTCATCTATGATCTTTTGCATCTTAAGGCTCTAGCTGAGGTTGTAATCATTCCCTTGGAAGAGGGTCCAGATTTTTTAAGTGTTCATGTAGGGTTGAAAGCTCATTAAGATTGTTTAAACAATACAGTAAGGTGTCCTGTACTAGATAGTTTACTTTGAAATCATGAATTTAAAATCACTAAAATTAGGGCTTAATAAAGGAAGATGGGGGTATTTGGGTATTAGAAGACCTTAATCCTATCTTGATTTGTTTGATGATAGCCAAATTATATGATTGGACCTAACTTTACTAAACCTCAATCTCTGTCTGAAATTGGAATAATGAGCATGACTGCTCACTTTCATATAATTACTGTGAGGAATTCTGTAATTAAAATTGATCAACCTTTATGAAATTCTTGTTACACTATAGGTATGGTAGACATTAAGGGCACATTTAGGAGCTCATAACCTAGTGGAGTGAAATTATTATTTAGCAGTGTAACTGAAAACATTTTGTTAATTATACAATAATGTGTGACTATAAGATAGCTTTTCCTAAACTGCGCTGCTTTCTGATGCTTTAGTGACACATTATGTACTCTTCCACCAAAGGTCATTTGCTCATGTGGTTTCCTAAGTTTATAGAAACCCTACTGATCAGATTTTATCTCCATTCAGTATGTGTCACCCCCCACCCCTATCTAAGACTTGATTTCTAAAACTTTTCATGCCTGAGTCAGTAGGTTTTTACATTGCAGAAGCAGAAATTAATATTACATTTTAGCTATATGTGAATATAACTTAGCTGACTGGTGTTAATACAGGTACTCAGTAAAGTGATTGTCTTAATTCAATGAAGTATATAGACAGTGGGTTCTTAATGTCGTTTGTTGACTTGACTTCTAGGTTAAAACTTCAACAACAAATTGTGAATACTGAAAATGCAGAAAAAGAAAGAATTGAAAATTCTGACCTGAAACAGGTATGATTATAGTAATCATTTCCCTTGTAATTTAAATGCTTTAAATCTGTTTGAATCTCAATTGAATTTGATAATATCAGTATTCTGAAAATCTATTACTATGGTTGATAACATCAATGAGGGTGATAAGCAAAAATTATATATTTAAACTTTTAAGATCTAGTTTAGTAAGCTCTTGCTAATTGTTTTTCTTGAGGGGGGTGTATGTGTGTGTATGTATATCCTCTGGCCAACGATTAATAATTTAAAAATTGTAGTTAAAGGAAAATATTTTCATATGGCAAATTAAAAAAAAAATAGATCACCAGGTTTTAAATTACTGCTGTGATTGACTTACATTTAACTTTTCTTATTCCTCAAGGTATTTATTATTTCCCTATGAAATCTGAGTTGTTTTTCTGGAAGGAAATTTATTTTAAGTTATTTGGATTCAGGAAGCATTTCTGTGAGCAAAATGTGGAATAATGTTTTCCTGAATTCTGTTTTCTTAATGTATTGCCCTCTGAATTATTAAGTAGTGAAGATTCCATTTTTAGCATTTATGTTACATGCTAGCTAATACTGCCTTGAATGTATAGTCATGCTTTCTCAGTCTTAACTGGGAAGGCATAATGTTTGACAGTCTGAGAGAAGTTATCTACTGTATTTGTCATGGAGCTTCCTATCATTCTTTAGCTAAGGAGAACTGTTTAGTTCTTTGATGGCCGCTTGCTCAATCAGTTATAATAACAGATGTAATATTTACAACTCCAGTTAAAAATGAAGAATAAATACCTCATGGAGAAATTAATTCTAAAATGAAAATATAACACATTCCATTTTACTTTATTTTATTGATAGTGGCTCTGTGGACATATATAGTCCTGACTTACTTGACTTTACTATCATGAGGAAGCAACAGAATTATTTCCCATTTTTATAATTTATTGTTTTTTTAAACTTGGTTTCTATTGATTCTTGAGTACTTCTCGCCCCCCAAGTCTTTTGACTGTCTTCATTTCCAAAGTTCTCTGAAGATGACTGTAAAGGTTAAAAGAAAGTGAAAGGAAAATGAGGACTTGTTCATTAAATGGTGAAATGAATTGTGGAGGAAGTAGGTGTGTCCCAGGTGAAGATTATTAGGATCTAACTTAAAAAAAGTATGAATCAGGCCCTCCCTGGTGGTGCAGTGCGTTAAAGCACTGCACTAAGAAGCTTAAGCCACTTCCACATGAGTTCGATTCCCGACTGCCCTGGAGGTGACCACATGGCGAGGTAGACCTCTCCTGACCTGCCCACTGCTCCCCTCAGCAGTGCACTTCGTTGATCTGCCTGTTCTGCTCCCCACTGTATCTCTGGTGAATCCTTTCACCCTCTGCATCTCTGGCCTGTACCCCAGTTCTATATGAATAAATAAATAAATCTTTTTTAAAAAATTAAAAAAAAAACAGTATGAATCTTCCTAAGCTGTAATCCGTAACTAAATAAATAGTTGGCTTTCTTAAGGAAAAGTTACTCCCAAGTAAAGGTAAATTGTGATGGAGAAAGGGTCTGAGTGATGTTTCATGGTTTGATTAATGACTCCAGAGGCCAAACAATCCCTGCTCTTCATTAGGTTTCTTATAGCATCTCTCTTCTGGATGTGCAGAATACTAAGATAACTTTTGAAAACAATGTGAGAGTGAGCATATTTATGATTCCTGGCTATTCAGAGAGCAGAACTCTTCAGAGGTTGTTGAACATATGATATGTGGGAAAAGAGAAGGAATTTCTTTAACCACTATCCCACCTAATTTGTTCTTTGCTAGTAGGCTAGAAGTTGTCTTATACAATACTCTAGTAGCTGGATTCTCCTTTCTAATCTTTGTATTGCCCTTCTAATATCCCTTCTCTCCATTTCTAGTACCTCTTTTGGGCTGCTCATTTTGGGAAGGAGAGAGAGAACTGAGTAGAAGATTGTGGGATATGATTTTTTTTTAAAGATTTATTTATTCATACAGAGCTGGGGTACAGGCCAGAGATGCGGAGGGTGAGAGGATTCACCAGGGACAGAGTGGGGAGCAGGACAGGCAGATCAACAAAGTACACTGCTGAGGGGAGCAGCGGGCTGGTCAGGAGAGGTCTGCCTCGCCATGTGGTCACCTCCGGGGCAGGAGGAGATCGAACTCATGCGGAAGTGGCTTAATCTTCTTAGTGCTGTGCTTTAACCCGCTGCGCCACCAGGGAGGGCCCTAGGGATATGATTCTTGATCATCTTAGGTTTTATTAAGAAATGATCTTAGCTGCTGCTGTTTATTATTTAAGGACCCTTCAGTTGCCACTTGGTTGGTATCTGTGAGTTGAAGATGCTTTGTATGTTCCGCTTTGTTCTCACTCTAGATTGTGTGTTTATTGATTTATGTATCTCTTCATTTAAGCAAATCAGTAGTTTACAGATCCAAGTGACCTCTCTTGGACAGTCAGAGAATGAATTGCTGAATTCAAACCAAATGCTGAAGGAAATGATGGAGAGGTTGAAACAAGAATGCCGAAATTTAAGAAGCCAAGCTGAAAAATCACAACTAGAAGTTGAAAAGTAAGGGTTTGCTCTTCTTATGTATAAAACTTTTTCTGCTTTTTGCTATTTTACAAATAATACACAAATCTATATTTCTGTTAATGATGATTCCATTGTTGAATGTGTTTTTGGGAACGCTTGGGTCACCAGTTAAAAATAGCTATTGGTAGCATACAATGGCTTTACGTAGTGTCCTTTCTATTTCTAGAGAATGAGTGTACCAGATTGAATTGTTGAGGGGAAAAAGACACTAGGGAGAAAGGCCTTTTAAAATTCTGCCTGATCATAGTATTCTGTAAACCCTTAAAGATTGTTTATTCACTAGGTAAATGAGCACATACATCTATTATTTTTTGAATATTAGAGGACAGAAAAATATTTCTGATGTGCAAAAATTACTTAGTAGAATTAGAACTATAACCATATATGTTTGAATTTTAAGAAAAGGATGTAAATAAGATATTTGTCCATAATGTGTTGTGACATCCCACAGGGTTCAAATAATTTTAAGTTTTATAAAAAATAGAAATTTTTTTTAAAGATTTATTTATTTGTACATACAGAACTGGGGTACAGGCCAGAGGCTCAGGGGTGGTTGAGAGGCTTCACCAGAGACAGAGTGGGGAGCAGAACAGGTAGATCAACGAAGTACACTGCTGAGGGGAGCAGCGGGCGGGCCAGGAGAGGTCTGCCACGCCATGTGGTCTCCTCCAGGGCAGGTGGGAATTGAACTCATGCGGAAGTGGCTTTTTAGGTTCTCAGTGCAGTGCTTTAACCCGCTGCGCCACCAGGGAGGACCAAAAAATAGAAATTTTTATCTTAAAATCCTTAAGTGTTTAATTGAAATGTGCTGAGATTTTTAGTGACAGTGTAGTTAGTAAACATAAGTAATCAATCATTGGTTTTGAATGTTATTCATAGGAATATATGACAGAAAGTAGCTGAACCCAGGAGTCAATAATACGTGATTTTGGTCCTAGCTAAGACATTTAAATTTAAATTTGTTGTAAAATTTAGGATTTGTCATTCTTATATTACCTGTGATAAGAATACTAAAAAGCACATAAAGCATGAAGAAGAGCTCTATAGTTGTAAATTATGATTTTACCTTAAAATACATTTATATGAATTTTATTCTAGCTAGAAAATACATCCTCTAAAACTTAATATCTGGATTGATGTTTTAACTAGTTTTATTAGTCCCAGCTTTTATAACTTGTTAGCTCTCATTGTTCAGAGCTTGTTATAAAGTTGTTTGTCCTGCTTTAATGAAGTATACTATTGACTAGGTCTTTAATTGAGTTAAATGCTCTAAATCTTCATTTCCTCATCTATATAAAATGGAGGTGATAGAAATACCTAGTACAAAGGATTATTGTGAGGAATAAATGACAGTGTACATGTTGTTCTAAGTACAGTTCCAGACTTAAAGTATACTCAGTATAGGTAGACTTAGCAAATATGTGACTGTGCTAGAAATGGTAGTTTATGATGTAGGGAGGCACTAGTGAGTTTTCTTATATTTGTGATTATATCTATTTATTCCTAAGACTTAACTTCCATGTTTTGCTTACATTCTCTGCTGACAGGACACTGGAAGAGAAACAGATACAGTGGTTGGAAGAAAAACATAAGCTACAAGAACGTATCACAGACAGAGAAGAAAAGTATAATCAAGCTAAAGAGAAATTGCAGCGAGCTGCGATTGCCCAGAAAAAGGCAAGTGGTTCTTATTATGTGATTCCCATAGAGTAAAACATAATTAACTGTTTTAGGAGAATGAAATGAATAATTATGACTGAGATTTTTTTTTTTATTTATTTATGCATAGAGAACTGGAGTACAGGCCAGTGATGCAGGGTCAGTGAGGGGATTCACGAGAGACAGAGTGGAGAACAGTACATGCAGACTGACAAAGTACACTGCTGAGGGGAGCAGTGGGCAAGACAAGGAGAGGTCTGCTGTGCCATGTGGGTCACCTCCAGTGCTGGGGATCAAACTTGGACTGAAGCGGCTGAGGCTCTCTTGCAGGGATGCACTTTAACCCATTGGCCACCAGGGAGGGCCCCAAGACTGAGATTGTAATGCTACTTTTAATTTGACATTTAAACATACATTCTGCATCAACATTGCAGAAATAAAATGGGAGACTCAAACTGCTCAACAGGTTTATTCCTAAATTTTGTATGCAAGTTGGTTTTTCAGAGCTACCATGCATTTTCATTTTCCCATATTTTTCCCAGCCAGCACCTACAAGTTTCACTTCACTCATTCTACTTTAAATTATAGGGTGTTTGGACCATTCCAACTATGCCTAACTAATACTTGTATCATGGTTTTTTGTGCTGAAAATATTTTTTTCCTACTCAGGAATATGGGAGCAAACATCTTTTTACACTAGCAGAAGGAACTCAGAATCCTGATTTCTGAAACAGCTGTGGTAATAGCCACATGTGGTTCCTTGATCCTTTCTAAGTTTCACCTTTGCAGCTTGTTTTTCTCCCAGAACCTAAAAACATTGTTTTTCTGGAAGTAGTCTAAGGCTACTCTATTTTCTCTAATTGTCATACTATTTTTAGCATTATGAGAAGAAATGACAGTATTCAGAAACCTTTTAAGGTTTATGGAAATAAATCATCTGTCTACATTATCTAAGTCAGTGGTTTACAACTTTTTTCCTACTTCAGCAAACCCAAGAAATAGAGTATGGCTTCATCAGTAATCAAGACTTAATGTGACGGTGATTCAGCAGTTATTTTCAACAAGGGTGTTATGTTGGTAGGAATAGGCAGTAAGGTAGTATAAAGAAAATTCCACAAATGATTTGAGTGTATTCAGTATGTTCCTTTAGTAGTGATATTGGTTGTAGAGGTGAAAAGGTATGAGCAGAGAGCAAGGTACTTATGGATGTAGGCATGCTAATTAATACCTTAACGTCTGTATGTTACTGGAAAGATTAGCTCTTCATGTTTGCATCAGAGATGAGAATTGTATATCATTTGCATATTCTGAATTTGGAAACCAAGGACACAAATCCTAGTTATTATGTTAGTAGATATATTTGCCAAGTACTGATAGTTCGTGTACGACAATATGAGTAGTCTAAAAGTCATTAATTTCTCGCTTAAAAGGTTTCTGCATATTTCTTCCCATAGTACAAGTATGACGTTGAAATTAAAAATATTGCATTTACTCTATGGAAATCCCAGTACTCAAGTATCAGCACTTGTATTGTTGTCCTGTGTACATTTCTTTTTTTCTGACCATATAAATGTAATAAGAAAGGTATAAGTATTATGGGATTTCAGTGAATTTTTTTTTTTTTTTATAGCTTGGGATGATCTCAAAACTCAGTTAAGTTTCCTAGAACTTTTGAAACCTAGAAACATCTGCAACCACATATTACCTGGAAGTCACAAGAATTTATAAAAGCTTATTTTCTTTCAGAAAACTTTTTAAGTTTTAGAGATAATTATCTAAAACATCAGATTGTAATTGCTGGGGTTAGTTTGGGTTGACTCTTTGGGAACAAAAGTGACATCCAGTGGTAAGAGAGATTATCAACTAATCATAGGAACAAAAGAGATATCAGGAGGTAATATTTTAATTTACCTATTTAGCATTTCTGCATTGTTACTTTTAATTTATTTCCTATTGTCTTTGACTCCAAGTACTACAGTTTTTTATATCGCCATCATCCACACAACACCCATGTGAGTCTTAATTTCCTTTGATAGAATAATCACTACAGATTTGATTTCTTTAACTCAAACCCCTTTCCCATTCTCATTAAGGATAATAGTTCTATATGAAATATTGGTTATAAAATTATATAAATGTAACTCATAAGTCTTCACCAGACTTTTACATTCTTTAAATGACAAAAATTACAACTTTCTTAAACAGATGAGACTTAAAATTAGTCACAAATATGAACTGTAGGGCAGAAATCATAATCATTTTGAGTTTCTTTCCTGTGAGAGATTCTTGCAGCTGGGGAGTAGCAGCCTTTTTTCCCCCCAGGCTAGATAAAATGGCTTACTGCCATCTGAATGTTTATTTACAGTTGTAAGCTCCTAAGCAAAAACCTTATGTCATCTCTGGTAAGTGTTTTTAGGTAGAATCTTTGTGTAATGATATTTTGCTGTGTTGATTTTATTTGGAAGAATTTGACCAAGTATCTTTAGTTGGATTGCAATGATGAGTTCATACTTCTCTCCACACACTGTTCAAGTGAGAGTATGAAGAATGAGCTCTTGGTGTGAATACAGTGAGTTGTGCTTTTCCTTTGGAGCCCTTAAAACAACAACTTGTTACTTTTATCATAAGGTGTATCTTTCTGAAGTAATTCTTGATGTTCTCATGGATGTATGAAAAATAGGCAATTTAGGCTTGGGGTATAGAAATAAAAGTGGAGGGTAACTCCCAGACATACTCTGAAGGGGAAAAAAATGCAAAATGTAGTGATATTTAAAATGGGAATTAAATTAGTTGTAAGTAGAGTTGTTATAATGTCAGTTATATGAGGAGTGGGAAGAGGCATTTGACTTAAATACATGTTAGATGGCAGGTTATGGCAGTGTGACCATATAGGTAGTTCGTATACTCTTGGTGAAGATACTGTGTAGATTAGTCATACAATTAGACAGGTATAATTAGTTACAAGATTTTGGATATGACTGAAGAATAAAAGGACTATGAAGTAAGTTAACTTGGTAAGAGGAGGCAGATTTAATGGAGGCAGTTACAGTGTGGGGTTGTAGATGCCAAAGGAAAAGGAAAGTATCAAAGGTAAATGTTCATTGAACAGAATTATTGAATTTGGCTAGAATGTGAAGGGGGATTCCTTTCTTTGCATTGAATCCTGCATCAGTGTTTTGGGTTTTTAATTTTTATATTACTCTTGTGTTGTTTTTATTCACTGGAATTTCAAAACGCAAAGAACTCAGATTTACAGCAATAGGAAAATGAAGGCCTCTCTTCACTATACTGACTTCAGCCTGAGTTCCATCCCCAGCCAGGGAGCTGACCCGCATGGCACAGCAGATCTCTCCTGTCTCACCCACTGCTCCCCTCAGCAGTGTATTTCAGTAGACTCACCTGCCCTGCCACCCACTCTGTCTCTGGTGAATCCTCTCACATCCTGCACTTCTGGCTTATAGCCTAGTTCTTTGCTGTAAAAGCAAACTTATAAAAAGATACATGTATAAATTTTTTTTTAAGTAGGAAAATGGATAAAGTGTGATGCATCTGTAACACAGATGACAAAGTAACAATGAAAAACAATTCTAAGGTGTAGTAACATGGCATATTCATATAGATAAAATGGTACATCAACAAATCCAGATACAGAGGAGTACATGCTGTGTGAATTTCTTTTTTTTTAAATATCTATGGGTGAATGGTAGGACAGTGTCCTAAAGTACCCATAAATATGTTAACTGTGGTGATTAAGAACAAAAGGATCTTCCTTTGCAAGGGCAGAGGAGAGGAGCACCAGGCAGCCATCTGAAATGTTAGAGGATGGGAAATCTGAGAAAGAAAGCCCAGAGAAGAATTATTTCCCAACTGGAAATAGCCCCGATGACCTTACCTGTAGATTGAGGATATATAATAAGTTATATAATAACCTCAAGCAGAATATAATGTATGGAAATAAATGAGCTACCTGGTGCTCCTCTCCTCTGCCCTTGCAAAGGAAGATGCTTTTGTTCTTAATCACCACAGTTAACATATTTATGGGTACTTTAGGACACTGTCTTACCATTCACCCATAGATATTTAAAAAAAAAAAATTCACACAGCATGTACTCCTCTGTATCTGGATTTGTTGATGTACCATTTTATCTATATGAATATGCCATGTTACTACATGTTAAAATTGTTTTTCATGATGGGAAACCTGAGAAAAAAAGCCCAGAGAAGAGTTATTTCCCAATTGGAAATAGCCCCGATGACCTTACCAGTAGATTGAGGATATATAATGTTATATAATAACCTCAAGCAGAATATAACGTTTGGAAATGAATGAGCTGTATCTGTAGGCAGTAACAGGAATAAATTTTACAGTGTTGTGTGAAAGGTAAAACCAATTTGTATAAAAATGAAAAGGAAAAAAAAAATAGCACATTATAACCCCATTCATATCAAGTGCAAAAATTGTCAAAACTAAACTTTTGATTTGTAAGTAATTTAGTTGATGCACTTCTCAAAGGATTAAGTTAGCACAGGTGGTGAATGAGAAGGGCTGGGGCATTCTGATAGACACTGCTCTGGACACATCAGGTAAATGACACCAGCACTAACCAACTCTGTGGTTTCACCCTTTTTGTACATTTATATTCTGTGCACTTTTCTCTAAGCCTTCTATGCTTTACTGAAAGAGCTAGAAAATAGCTAAAATCGGTAGCTACTAAATGAACTCCAAGATTATGGGTATTTCCTGTAAAGAAAAAAAATACCTGTTTATAATACTGAAATTAACATTCTATAGATTTTCTTTGTATTGTTTCCATATCAGAAAAATTTCCCTTTATATGTTAAGGCTTAGATTGTCTTCATTTTAAGTTTAGAAAGGTATAAATTTGAGATGCATCCATAAGCTACCTCAGCTTTCTACTCATCTGGGAACAAGAAGAGTTGATGATTCCTGAAAAGGTGACAGCAATTTCATTAGTAAAATTTGACCTCTTCCCTTTTTAGAATTTTTATTTGCAACAATTTAGCTATTGCTACCATTTTCTGAATTAGAATTTGTAACATTAAGGATGAGATAGATCTATGGTTTATTATCTTTCCAACTTTCAATAGGAATTATATCTGTTAATCTTTGCTCCTGGTATTCACTGAAAACACTCATTTCTAAAAGTTTTGTTAAGTAAAATACTCATTTTGCTCAAATAGGTTATTAACATACTTGCTTTTGAAGCAGTTTCTCAATTCTCTTTTCTAGAGGAAATCTCTCCATGAAAACAAGTTGAAGAGACTGCAGGAGAAAGTAGAAATCTTAGAGGCAAAGAGAGAAGAATTAGAAACGGAAAATCAGGTGTTAAATCGGTAATATGCTTGGATGTATATACACTCCATGTGGTTGTTTTGCTCCTAGAACTTTGTTTTCATTTAAAAAGCACGTTTAGGAGAATTCAGTTATTTCACTCTTCTGTGCCCACCATGTTCCTTCAGACCAAAGACCTTTTTAACATATTTCAGGTGTTAGTTTGATGGTTGGTGTGACAGGAATGTCCAATTGACTTTGGTATAGTAACTGGTTTTGGTAACCAGGAGTATCATGAGTGCTTGCTGCTTGAGAGGAGAGTTGTAGTGGATACGTAGGTCTTAAGATTGTGACTACAACTTTGAAGATAAGTTTTTAATTTCATGGTGTGGAAGAGTATTTTTGGTTTCTAGCTTCTGACTTTTTCACTTGTATGTAAGTATGGCTAATTGCATCGTTAGCATTTTTGAGTAGAAGAGATTTACCATACTAAGTGGTAGTGATGTTGCACAACCCTCTTATTCAAGTTAATAAAATCTTTTTAAATTCAGCTAATTTGTGGTAGCTTTCAATATTTAGATAGCATCACATTTTTCTATAATGGAAATTGCTTATAATACCAAGCAGTTATGTTTTAAGATGTATGCTTATTTATTATCAGAATGTGAACAGGTTTTTTTTTTTTCAGTATACCCATGTTTTTAACTAGAATGCCAGTGTTTAATGCCTTATCCAAACTAATATGCTTCAGAATTCATGCTAAAACAAAATTCAACTTTTCTTTCATAATCATTAATTCTGAAGTATTATAAGTTCAAGAATGTGCAGCAATGGCACAGATCATCTAGAACTTTGAGGGTTTTGAAACTATAGTCGATTACTTTTATGATTGATCACTAGGAAATTCACTTCTAAAATGGTGATCTGTGGAAATCTGAAATGGTAGCTTTTTTATTCATACAGTTTTTCCCTTCAAGTTGGTTGGTTGGCTTTACCTTTCTCCTTAACAATTTTAAAATTAGGTTAATCAATCTGAAATTCCATATATTTTACCATGTTTCACCCACAGTTTCCTAAGATTGAATCCGATATTTTAAGTTGCTTCTGCAAAATAAGGCACCCTCTTGTCCTTCGGAGTCTCCTATTCATTTCAGAATCCACAGGTTATGGTAGTAGAGTAGAAATGAAAGTATCAAAAGATATTTAATCTTCGATTAATTGACAAAACTTGAATTGATAGTCTGGCAATGCTATCAGTAATAAATATAATTAAGGTGCTTTGTTTATCTTTTTAGATACAGACTTTTATATGGGTAAATCTTAATTTAGAAATTCTCTCCGACTTAAAAGTATGTGACTCATACTGTTGTTCAATAAAGTATAACTGTATTAAAAACAGAAAAACTTTTCCTTTTTAAGACAAAATGTTCCATTTGAAGAATATACAAGACTGCAAAAAAGGCTAAAGGATATACAGAGAAGACATAATGAGTTTCGAAGTTTAATTTTAGTTCCTAACATACCTCCAGTGGCATCCATCAACTCTGTTAACTTCCAGTCATCAACCATGGTTCCAGGCATGGACCTGTCCTTTCCACCTCATATGCAGGTATAAGTACTAGCTTTAGAAGGTGAAAAAGCAAACATTTTTATAGTTTTTTCCATTAAATACAAGGCTTAAAAACACTATAAATGTGAATGTTATCAGTGGTCAGAATTCATGTAAGAATTAAATGACATGCCATTTAAATACAGTTAGATTTAACTCTTCCTGTTACCAGAGAAATTTGCTAACTGGATTTGAATCTTTTCTGTTTTCTAGTGATGGTGTGGGGAAAAGAAATATGTTGGCAATAGAAAAGAAATTTGATAAATCTTTGAGGAACCCAGAGTTTCAAGCTCACGTACATACTATTGGTCACATACTAATGCATTGCACAAAGCATTTTCCATAAAAATGTGTATTTAATCCTAATAATGAGTGTTTGGAAAGAATGCATTATTATTCCCAACTTACAGATGAGGGAACTCAGAGAGTGAAGTGATTGGTATAATGTCATAGCTAATAAGTGACAGTGTTGTTTCAGACCTAAACCTGATTCTAAAACCTGGGCCCTTTCTACTATAATACATACTGCTGTTCTAAAGGCATCAAATAGATGAATTTTAGAAGACAAACTGTTATAATTTATAATGTAAGCTCTGAAAAGTTTAGAATCTCAGAGCCAAGTGATTTGTTTTTTATAAACTGCTATAATACTCTAGTCTTGGGCCCTCCCTGATGGCGTAGCGGGTTAAAGCACTGCACTGAGAAGCTGAGGCCACTTCTGCATGAGTTTGATCCTCACCTGCCCGGAGGTGACCACATGGCTGGCAGACCTCTCCTGACCGGCCCGCTGCTCCCCTCAGCAGTGTACTTCGCCAGTCTGCCTGTTCTGTTCCCCGCTCTGTCTCTGGTGAATCCTCTCACCCTCCACATCTCTGGCCTGTACCCCAGTTCCATATGAATAAATAAATCTTAAAAAACAACAACAACAAAAACTCCAGTCTTGTTAGAAAGTGGCCATGGAAACACATCTGGGCTGAATTAGTATTTTCTAACTCACTCCCTGGTGATTAGTACACCTAGAGGGTTTTGCTGAAGGTGAGGGCCTGAGGCTGGAGGAAGGACTTGAGTAAGTAGTTAGCAAGTGGTCTAGCCCTGCCGCTGTGTTCTAGACTGCGAAAATGGTACTGCTCTCCTTAGCACATGTCACAGCGTTGACAAAAGGAGACTGCTACCCACTGTTTCTTCTAACAGTCTCTCTCTCTATACTTTGTCTGCATCATTTTAAGGAGGAACAGCATCAAAGGGAACTTTCGCTACTTCGTAAAAGATTAGAAGAACTAGAAACAACACAAAGAAAACAACTAGAGGAACTTGGATCTCCTGGGGAATGATGTTCTTGAAGAAAAGGCAGATCAGAGGGATGAAATCAGTGACTCAGTAAAGCTTGAAGTTTTAATGTACGTGGCATTTAGATACTTTATTACAGTTTGCCAAAACATTCTGATGTGCCTCAAGAAAAGGTAGCAGCTAAATGCTGTATTGCATGAAGGTGGGATTTTAGGATTCTACCAATGATAAGCAAGCTTTAAAACCGTTTCAGAAATACTTAAAATAGTGACAACCGTTTTGAGAAAGTAAAGTAAGTGAATAAAACAACCAGGTATGGAATCAAGGTTTCAATTTTCTTTTTGTTGGCAGGGGTGGGGGGGGTGGGGGGGCATTTTGCCTGAACTATGCCCAGATTGAAGTCCCTCTTACTCTGAGATGCTTGGCAGTAAGATGAGTTAAAAATTTTACTCTATAGTTCTTAAAAACAAGTAACAAAAGTCAGCATAGAAAAATAAAACTTAACATATATTCATTACAGAATGCTACCTTTTCTAAAAGCTATGTGCACATAATTTAAAAATTTAATAAATATTTTTCTATCTGTTTTGCCTTGTGTTAATTTTATTTCAAACATTCAATGTATATTTAGCAATGTAGAAGAGCTCACTGATTTTGGCTTTGTTGAGCTAGAATTAAATAAAGTAAAAATAATTAAATCCTGTGGCTGTATTATAAAAGGACCATTCATCATAAAACTTGAACCCAGTGGGATCCCTTTATAAGTATTTGTTGGTATTTATAACTTTGCCTCACACTGTTTTTGATCTAACCAAATAATTACAAATGTCTTATTTCTGTGCATTCCTAAGTATGCCATCACTTGCTTTTTTATGTAGTATTTTTTAGAGAAATTCTGCTGGAATAACTTCATGTCAACAGGACAAAGCTCAAGAAGTCTTCGCAGTCAAAATTCCAGGTTAATAGTGGAGGCCAGGAATGTAATCAACAGGTCTTAGCATCATTTAGAAGAAACTAGGTATACTGTCTATGTGACAGAACTGCTTATTCAGAGTATACAGAGACACCTTGCTGAAAAATAATTTCCATGGAGTCACATCGCTAAAAACTGTTACAGTTAGAAAATTTGAAGAACAAAAAGAACAATCAGCATTTACATCAAAATGTTTATTTTTGGATATAGACATTTAAAACATTCATCTGCAAGAACACCTTCAATCAGGTATACAATAAGAAATAGACTTTAAATTTCTAATACGGAAAAAGGAACACAAGTTTTAAATGCTGCTGTAGACAGTAGTGTTAGGGAAAAAAAGTTTATAAATGGTTTTGCACCAAAAAAATATGCAAAGAAACTTGAAAATAGAAATTGTTTGCCATTTGTTTCTCTGGTTGCTGTTTAATATAGACCCAGTGACTGATTGTCTTCAGCACACACATCTAATTTGGCCATTAGTATGTTTGGCTAATGTGGTTCATAGTATGATCTAGATAGTGCTTTTCACTGGAGGATTGACAAACACGCTACATACATTAGTGAATCTTCACACCACCTCAGTGAGGTAGGTTAGGAATATTATACAGAAATTGAGGCACAAAGAGGTAAGTGACTTGCCCAAAGTTCCCAGCAGCATAGTCCCTGGAAGAGGAGGTAAGTCTCCCCACTGGACTCATGTGCCAGAGGTCTGGACAGGGACACCCTCGGGTAGCATTTACTAACTACTCAGATAAAGCTGTAGCTGACCCTTTGAGTTTTCTTAGCATTTCTGCACCCTAAAGAAGGGGAAGTCTTTTGGGCAACTCTCCTACCCTTGGCTCCCAACTCTCCTATTATTGTTCTTTTAGGAATGCCTTCACGTCAAGACTAGTGGCCTTAGGTGGGGACCAGGCCTCTCACCTTTACAATTGTAAGTAACCTTTTTGGTAGTATTTTTGAGGTGTGTCCATTGGACAATGGTTGAAGCGGTGGGAGTAGGAAAAAGGTGCCTGTCGATGTTTAATTGCTTACTTCTCTAATCAGTTTGGTGAGGTGTCACTTCTCCACCACATGTTGAGGAAGAAAAAGAATTGCATTTAAATCCTGATATCCCATACAGTGTTTGTAAATGATTTCAAGGAAAGTGTGATCCGTGTCTTTTTTGATAATTGGAGCACCAAGGGTAGAAGGTGCCACGAGGAAAGTTTGAGAGTTGCCAATTATATTTTTTACTTCTGATTTAAGAAGGAAAACACAGTGGTATTAAAACTGGTCATGAGCAGCAAAAATTCAGGAATAAAAAATCAGCAATAAAAAGACTACAGTATAACTGGATAGAGATTTCTTTAAAAAGAAAGGCATGAATAAAATGGGTATTTTTAATTCTCCTGCAAGGAATACTTTCAAAAAGTACATAGTAAGACTAAGATACCAAGTTGTATACTAATATTTTTTCAGGCCTCAGGCCTCAAATATATATATGTTCATATATAATACTCCAGTGTGAACAGCAATTTCATGAAATGTAAAATGTATCTTTTCTTAAAATCACAAGTATTTATAACCACAGGTTTCACCAGAAATCTAAAGCAAGGAGATTCTACCATACAAGTGTAGGATTTAGGGAATGAGTTACTCTACCAGGTAATTGTGACCAAAGTTTTTAAAACAATTTTTCTTTTTTCAACAAAACCTAACACATCCACTATTCATGAAAAAGTAAAGTGAATAAAAAGGGACAGACATTAGGACAAAGATTATGGGTAAATATTGCCCACTCCCTCTCCTTGCTTTAGAGCTCCTTAGTGAGATGGAGGTGCAGTTGATGACCACTGAAAAACACGAGCCCTTTCAACAATGTTGCAACACTGTTAGTTTTTGGTTTAAAAACACACACACTCACAAATGCTAAGTGTACACACTACCAAATTCTGCGTCAGCTTTTCCAAGAACTACTGGGGAAAGTTTCGATGTTGCAAATCCTCGAGGTTGCCCTAACACCCCCACCTTGTTTCCAAATGACTCATTTCACCTTTTTTTTTCTTGATCATTGGCAGTGTCCTTGTCTGCAATGGTACAGTGTAGTCATAAGTGTTACATAGCTTTTCAAACAAAACCACTTACATCATTGTGCTTAAGTGGAGACTGTAGTTACAATACTGACACTTGATTACTGGCCCTGTATTCTCTGTAAACAAGGAGGCTGTTTGCAACAACCACGTCAGCTATTTACAGAATGGTTCCCACAGTATACACAGGCACCATGGTTGGGATGCTTTCTGAAAGCTGTGCATGTGCCTTGGTCTCTTCAAAAGACAGTGCTCAGAGTGGAACCTATGTGCAAACTTAAAAACTAACGACAAAGAATAGCTCAAGTAGCCATTTTGCTCCCAAGTCGTCTGAAGAACTTTGCCAGATTAAGCCAGGCCCCAGAGTGCTCACATCCACTTGCATTTCTTCTTTTCATCAAATAACACTTTTACATGCAAGAGTTGTTTCTGAGCTTCTTCCAGCCCTCGTTCTCTTTCTAGTTTATTTAGAATCTGTTGACAATTAGAACAGTTATTTTAGATATTGTGGTTTTAGCATTACAATTTTTCTTTTTTTTTTTTTTTTTTGCATTCCTAATGCTGTGAGTGGTAAAATCTGTATAAAACAGATGCCAACATTTTCTTCGATCATTTACATACTCACTTTGCAAGTTGTTTTGCTAAGTCATTATCACAGGATCAACAACACTTTGGCTTAAAATAGAAGCTAGCACAGAATACCAACTATTTGCTTACAAATATGGGGCCAGACTTCCAAGGCCCTGTTTTATGCATTATGTCACAGCCATTCCAAGCATAGCAAGCATTCCTGGGCAGCCAACATGCAGGCAAGTATTTCTTCTTAAATGCAAGCAGGCAAGGGTATCTTAGTCAGAGATCATTATTTCTCCCCCCTTCCCTTACCCTCCCCAGTGCTTCCCTCCTAACCCCTGACCCCTAAAAGAGGGATGCTTATCATGTTAAGGAGCTCATTGCCTCTACCCTACCTTAGTGCTTCACTTGATCTTCAAGTAGCAAATGGAATTGGTGAGCTATTCTCACCAGTGACATGGATAGCCTGTCCCAGCATGACTGAGGGGGGGGGAATCAGGGAAGGGGGAATTAACATATATTTGGAAACAGCGCATCTGATGATTGTGTCTGTGTGAATTCCCAAAGAAAAAAATCCAGATTAAGGAGAATTAATCATAAAGGAGAATGGTTTATTGACATAGTTGCTCAGAAATATGTCATTTCATATAACTTGAATACAAATCTAGGCGATTCATTTTAGCAGACGACAGTCAAGCATAAGCTGTCCCTATTGAATAGGACCACCACTTATACTTTATAGATACTTACTATTGTTCACTTTTGTACAATGTATGCTTTCTTCTTTTACTACTTTTTAAAAGTAACAAGTCAGTTTAGTCAGAGGCCCCCCATTGATTCAAATGTAAATTCAGGCTTGTCCAAAGGTGGGCAGCCCTATGCACCATCTGGCTTGGTGCCAGGTCCCCATCTCTGCAGGTTTCCTGGCCCCTGGGGATGCCACAGTGGGACTCTGACCTATGAAATGCTTTTTTAATCAAACGCTGGTTGGCTGGTTCACAATGTTATTTAGAGTCTTACCTCATCAAAATATTTTACGATGTATTTGTAGATTTCCGTCAAGGCCACTTCTTCATTAAATTCATTTTCGTGTTTCTTAAAGAAAGAAAGGCTTGTTAAGAGGTTCTGACATGACTTTTTTGGAAAGTAACCAGATGTAATAACTTTCTTACAGTACCTTAGATTCCTGAGTTAAGAATTCTTCCATTTCTGAAGATGACAATGGAGGCAAGTCCCTGATTGCTTTGTAATAAGATTTTACTTCCTCTTTGTAGGTTGGGATATCCTTGGCATAGAGAAGTTTATTAGTTGGTGCTTCCTGGAAATAAAAAGCAGGACATCCAAAAGAGTAAAAAACATGGGGGAATTTAGAATTGTATCCATGTAGCTGATGGACCTGCACTACCAGTATCACCTCCTCGTGACAAGACTTCAAGCAGCAGTCTTTAATGTTGTTGACTGAAGGACTGACTGCTATCCAGATAATTCTGGTGAGTCACCGTTATTTTCAGGCAGATTAAATGCTAATATATTCTGCTTTTCTGTCATAAGGGGACTAAAATTATTATTTTTACATGATTTTGAGTTACTGTAACAATGGAACTTACTTCAATCATAGTTCATTACTAATGGTTGTAAAAAGCCTGAATTAAAACATTTGCTTTCATTCTCACCCACCAGTGAATTTTGGCATTTATAAAGACTTGATTGTAGGTCTGATTGAGTCCTTTATATAACTATGAAAGTATATGAGTAATTGGTTTTTTTGTCCCTCTTATTACATTATAAAGATGGTCCAGTGTCCTCAAGGGAAGCATGTGGTTATTAATATAGGTGGCTCTGATGTCCAAAAAGTTCCTAGAAATTTGAATATTTTCATATAATATTAAAATGAAAATCCTAAAGTCATTTCTATTAAACTTTAAAAAAATTTTTCCTCAAGGAAGATAGATAAATTGATAGGACTAGTGTTGTAGTGTTCTGATATGTTTGTTAACTGTATCCATGGCTTTGTTAACTGTATCCATGGCTTAAATAATAGCCTTTCCAGTCAGTAACTTGATGAAATATTCTGAAGCGTACTTCTAGATTTTTTTTCACTTGTCAAATTTAAGTAGAACCCACAAATCCTGCATTCATTAATTCAATGAGGGTCTGTTTAGCTTCACTGTGGGCAGGCATGAGAGTATATGGTAAAGATGGGTACCTGCCCTGGGGGAGCTTATGGCCAGTCAAGGTGGGGCCAGACTGACATGATGCTTACCGCATTAGTAATTTTTTTATACTCTGCTACAAAGACTGATTTTAGGCTAGACATGTTGTCTATCCTCTTTCCACCGATATAAATATGACATGGTCAGGTATGAATAGTTGGATCTGCATGGGCACATTTTTTTCTTGTATTATATGTAATATATAGAGGATTGCATCTTATATGAAAAAATACCCCACACCTTTCAATACAAGGACAATGACTTTTGCAGGTTTTGTAATTTAGGGACAGGAAGATCTGGAACAGTGTCTCCTGTTGATACTGAGGGATGGTTGTCGCATCACCTTGATATTTAAACTGATTATCCTACAGTTTTTGTTACACTTTGGGAAGTCATGTTTGTTGAATTAGTAGTGTTATTTACTAGCCAGAAAGGTTAGGAGGTAAAAAAGTGACTTGGAGACATTGAATAGTTGGGGACCAGTCAGACAGACCATGTTTAGGAGGCAGTGATGAAAGGACAGAAACATCCCAGAGACGCAAATGGATATATCAGGCAGTGGTAGGACAATGAAAGTAAAACTGGGTTTGTTTTGCAAAACAATATTTTCAAGTTTGCATTTTTATCTTTGTGCTTTCTTGATTATAAACTGACAAGCTGAGAACTTTATATGTTTCAGGCAAGATTTTCTTCCCGGTAAGTAATTTGTTATGTTCAAATAGACTTTTATATATATTTAGATGGAATTTGGGTAAATTTCATCATTTGCTTTTGAATTTATAGTAGACTTTCTAACAAACAAAGAAAATTTATATTTTGTGGCAAACATTTTCCAAAGCAAAGTGTGGGAATAATTACTGCAGAAAAGATTTTAAAGAAATATAAGTTTTCAATCATTTTAATATCATCATTACTCACTTTTTCAGTTGATATGGTTTAGAACAATTGCTTATAATCTGTCTATAAGAAAGACAATGCTTCAGACTCAAGAATATTGACAAAAAATTTTAAAGCTTACCTTCCCTAGTTGTTGCTCTGTGAGAGAAAATGCATCCATGAATGCCTGGGCAATCACTGACAAACAGCCATCAATGTGTGGTGTCTTCTTAATGTCAAAGACAAACTGAGGGTTCTTTAGGATGTTTACCCAGAAGCGAAGAGGAAGGCTGTTCAGAGAGAGAGAGCTCATTCATGTGAGGTAGCTCTCTGTCACAATTTTTAAACAGTTCTATTTGTTCTTGTTATTAGCATTTCTGAGTCTACTTTCCCAAACATATCAAGCAAATGATGGTAATATCACTCAAATAAGGAGCTAGAAAGAGGTTAAGTATGAAAGTTGCTGTTGACAAGTATTCTCCCTAGATGATCATAGATAGGGTGATACCAATGAGAAAATCTCATCAGATCTCCAGAACTTAACTTCTCATGCCCTTTAAATGCCCACTCTGACCTAAGCCACTATTTCCCATCATCCCCAGTTCCTGACAGTTGATTTTCCCACAGTTAACCAGCACCAGATGATGTCTCACTCAGTCCATCTCCACTGGCCTCTCAGGCAAGGTGTGTGCTTCAGGACTTTGTTGTCCATCTTCTGGTTGGGTTATGACCTAATCTCACAACCTCGCTCAGATATCATCTCTGAGGCATCCCTGCCCTACTTTGTAAATAACCAGTTGTGGGAATGGACAGATTGTCCATATAGCTATACTACTAGAATGTGAGCTTTGTGAAAACTTTAATCAACTGATTAGACAAAAATCTCTCAGTATCTAGTAATGCCTTGTACAGGTAGGTACTGAATATTTAAATATGAAATTTGGAATTACTCAGTCCTTTATTTCTCTTTTTTAACTCTGGCCTAGCTAATTACCTCTATCAATTGGCCACTGGGCTTGTCATCCTGCAGCGCCCATGCTTAGTATGGGAGTAGTAGGAGATAGAATAAACAAGTTGGTTTTTACTAAGGCAAATATTTAGAATGAATATGGATACATAGGCTCAGTTTAAGGTAAAATATTTAAAAATTAAAGAAAATACAATACTTTGGCTAATGCCTAAGGTATTGCGTATGACTTTACATCAAATAAACAGAAATTTTTATACAGAATCAAAAAAGACAGCTTGGAAACTACAAAGTGATTATTTTTTTGAGCCATAGTCTCTTCTAATGGAAAGTTGTGTAATAAATAAGGCCACAAAATTTTAATCCTTTGGTAATTGAGGTAAATTTGCTGAAACACTCTAAACTTTTTTTCCCCACACAGTAAACATAAATAGTTTAAGGAAAGGGTTCCTGCCATAGGCTGGTTTGTTACTATTTTTAAACAATAAACAAGAGATGTTACGACATGATACCTTCCCAGGTCAAAAGATTCTGATAGTTTCAGTAGGATTTTTTATCCCTCAATCTGTGTCTTCCTGTTAGTTAAGATTCTGCCCCAGAGTCTTAAACAGTAATTGTCTAAATTCTCACCTGTTTGTTTTCCAAATATGTACAACATCAGGATCTGTGATTTTTTTGTTTTCAGCCTGGGCATCCAAGAAGTCAAAGAAATATTTTATAGCAAAGGGGGCTTTGTTGTTAGGTAAACTCCAAATGCTTCTAAAAAGTTTTTCCAGCACAGAGTGAATTGCCACCTGGAAGATAACAATTTTAAAGCATTAGAAAAAAGAAATACATAAAACTGTCAAATGAAGCCAACACTCATAGTATGGGGCAAAGGTCCGAAAATTCTATGTCCAGATCTCATTGGTTCATAAGCTTCTTGCCGATATTTAGTCAACAGGAAGTTGTAGTTTAGAAACCTCTAGCAATTGAAATGTCAGTTCTCAGACTGTATATATAAGCCAAGAAGCCAGGGTATTTGACTTTTTGTTACATTCAGCCAGAAAAGGCTTAAAGAATTTTTCCTACTGTATACTTTCTGAAGCATCTGACAGAAGCTAAGGAGGCAAAACTCTAGGACAGATAAACTCAAGATCTGGCTGGCCTTTAAGAGTTGCTACTGAACAAGACCGTAATATACAGGAGCAAGCCCACCAGGAGGCTCTGGCCAGGGGTGCATAGTAACATGTATATTGCTTGTCTTTCAGAACAACAGAAAGGATCATCAGACTTCTGTGAATCTCACTAAAAAGCAGGTAAAGTAAAATTTGCTCCTGATTTGGTATTCCACTGACTTTCACATATGACACTTTTATATGCTAGGTTTTACTCAGTGATCCCTTCTCCCCTTCATTTTATTTGCAATTCAAAGGGAATTTTATTGCTAATATGTAACTAGTAAACAAAGGAAAATTATGCTGTCAACCTGAATATAGCACTAGTGAGACACTGGTTAAAGGAGCTGGGAATTCCTGACTGAAGATGCTATAGTAGTAACTTGTGAAGTGTTATCTTAGCAGTTTCTAAAGGAAAGGGGTGGGGGGAATAATAGGTAGTGTTTACAATTTAAACTTTCATTTTGCTGTGCTACAAGGGATTTGTAACATTTTCACACTTTAATAGAAATTAAGGCAAACACATCATATCCCCCCAAGGCAGCAGTATACGTGCTCCCAGAACAGGAAGTGTACCTTGGTTGATAGCAGCTTTGTCAGATACATTTCTTTTACTTTGAACTTGTGTTTCCCTCTATGTCTCTTTCCTTGCACATCTTGGAATGCTTCGGAGTCTGGTAAAATCTAAAGGGAAGACAGAGTAGAAGCGTTACCCAAGGAGACCGTTCATGCTACAGAAGGCATCCAATTCACAGCAAGTGCAAGAAAGCCTGAACTCACCAAATGGCAGTGGTCATCCGAGTATTCCACATCTGAATGCCAGAGAAACGAGAGAAAACAGTCCATTAAAAAAGTCATTTTATAAGAATGCCTATTATCCCATTTGTGTTATAAAGTGAAGAGGTTACTTGGACTCTTCATAGCTACTTTTTTCCTCAGCTGCACCTTATGAACAGTGTAAAGACAGAATGAGCCAGGGGCTGGTATGGGCAACAGGCTCCCTGTTCTAGAAGTACTAGGGGCAGAAAGATCAGTTGCCAAGATTGGAGAGGTTCATGCTCATTCACTTAACTCCCTCCGTGGCACCTACTGTGTGCCAAGGACTACAGCCATGAATGAGACAGACCTAGTTCTCACTTTATACGCTAACCAGTGAGGGACTACTTTATACGCTAACCAGTGAGGGACTACTTCATACTAAGTACATATTGACAATTGTGAAGAACTATGTAAGAAAGCAATAAGGGATGGATTTTTCCTGGATGGTTTGAGGCAGGGTTCTTAGACACCTACATGGAGAGATCGGGGAGTGGTTGTACAGGCTGTAAAGTGGAGCTCATAGAGTCAGGAGAGTGACCTAGAGTGAGGGTAGTCTTGGAGAAAGGTGACTGATTGGAGGGAAAGAGAAGTTACAGTAGGTAAGGCTTTGAAGAAGACACCAGAACATCTTTGAGTTGCTAATAGAAAAAATACATGAAGAGGGATGGATAAAATGTACAGGCAATTACTGATGACATAAGACTTCTCAGAAGGTAGGAAAGGCTGGAGACTGGCCTTAGATGGCGGGCCAGCCTTGATGTCAGGCGAAGAGGAAGAGGACAGACACAGGGTGGTAGGCTAGGTGTAAACGTTGATGGAGTTCTGCATTTACTGTGAATAAAATGTGAAGTCATCTACTGATTAAAACATTGAGATGCCTAGAGAAACAGTTGTGCTGAGGGCCTTTGGCAAATTGGACATGATTTATAAGAAAGTTGACTTTACTATTGTGTACCTTTACTTTATGGTTACCTGGCTGTAGGTTCAGAAAAAGCTAGCAGCTGGAGTCTCCTCCAGGACTGGGATTTTGACAAAGGTGATGAAATGACAGACGGGGGTGGGGATGGGAGGGTTCATTGACAAGTGATCACATTAATAGCTCTCAGCAGAGATATTGACTAGAGGTACTATGGAGACATCCAAACCCTAACTATTACAGGACTCTCAGGTAAATGTTCAATCTTTGAAGTCTAAAATGCACAGCTCTTCCACTTTTCACACAAGGATAGCAAATCCTCTTATACCAGAATGACTGCCATCTTCTGCAAGATGGTTTCTTTCACTACTACCTCTCTAGAGGTGTCCTACAGCACCTGTGATCCTGTTCTTTTAATTGAAAACTACAACATCTCGTTAGTGCATAATCTACCAGGCTGCTCCTGGTATTGAATTAAGGAAGCCCTACTCTCTAGCTTCTAGCTGTGTGAGAACCATCTTTTGGTGAGACCCAGAATCTGTCTAAAGGATGAAGTCTTGACTGAGGTATAATTTCTCAAGACAGATCTTGAAGGGGACCTATAGAGTCCCCAGGCTATCACAGAAGAGTTGAGAGACTGGCTTACTGATTTTCCCATAAAAGCTCCTTAATAATGTCTCTTCATTTTCTGGGTATTCTGCAAATGCTGTCAGCAGATTTGAGCCTACTAAATGGATTGTCTTGTTTGTTCAGTGCTTGCAGGACTGTGTTTATTTGTAAGCTTCTATTTGTGAGGGGGGATAGCCTCTGTTAGCTCCCACCTACTGAGGAGTTGGGAATTATGAAGACAGATTCTGCCCTGAGATTTAGGGCTGTTAAGAGGCTGCCTTTTCCTGCTGGGCATTTTAGGACAACTGCTGTTGACAGTTTCCACTACTTGCAGGACTCAGGACTAGGAACAGATTGAAATGTTTTTTTTCCCCACTTTTAGGGAATTATATAGCGACAGCTCAATCTCACCTCTGTGACAATATATCTGAGAGAAACAAAAAGTGATACTTCATAAAGATGGGTGAGAACAAAAGTTTTAACAAGGTTATATTGGTTACCTGAAGTAAAGTTCGCTATTTTCTTAAAGACTTTTATAGTGGATCCATTTGATATCTGAAAGCACAGATTAAAACATATGAGTTTTTGGCCCTCCCTGGTGGCGCGGCAGACCCGCCCGCTGCTCCCCACTCTGTCTCTGGTGAATCCTCTCACCGCCCTGCACCTCTGGCCTGTACCCCAGTTCTGTATATATAAATAAATCTTTAAAAAATATATGAGTTTTCATTTCTCAACTTTACCCAGGATTTAGTGAGAGAATGTAAGATCCATCAGTTACCTTACTGAATATCAGGAATTTTGTGTACTATGATGGAAAAAGCTAGAAGTCATGACAATTTCATGTGCAGGTATAGACCTACCAGAGATACATACCTATCATCATAAACTAATTGTCCTGGACTGCAAACAACACAAATATCTGTCACCTTACAATGAATAATTTGGTGTATATTCACTCAAAAGATTATAATAACATAGTGAAAAGGAGCAAACTATGGCTACATACCACGAAGATGAACCTTTCAATGATAATGTTTTAGCAAAAGTCTCACAAAGGTATGCGTGCTACCAAATTCTGTTCTCACAAAGCTAAAAGAATTCCAACCGATCAAAACTAGACTGAGATGTTTGGAGAAGACAACAGGGTTAGTGATTAGGTGGGGACAGAAGGAGACTTCTGGGGCCTATAATGTGTTGTTTTGGCCTGGGTGGCAGTCTTAGGATGTGCTCATTTTGTGATAGTTTTCGACATACTTGTTTGTTCTCTTTTCTATAGGTACATCTTTTTAAAAGCTTGTCACAATTGTATATACTTTAATAAAACTAAGTATAAACAAGTGTAACCACTACCCATACCAAGATATAAAGTGATATTTCAGAGTCCCAAGAAGGACTCCATTATCCTTACCCAGCCAAAGACCACCCCTCCTCGTCCAGTGATGATGACTCTCCTGCTCCCCATCACCATTGGCTGGCTTTATGTTCTTCAACTTGATATAATTGGAATCTTACAATATATAGAATTATAGGCTTGTCTCACTTCTGGTGTTAATATAAGGTATGTAATGTTTATGTTGCATCTCAGTTGTCTTATTCCATTGGATGAATAGTACAAAACAGCTACCATACAAAGTATCTACACCTGCTACATTAGTGAAGTTCAACAACATCACACATTGTACAACCCTATTCATATAAACTCTAGAATAGGCACATTTATACAGGTAGAAATGATAGTTGCTTAAAATAAGGGTTGGGGGAGGGATATGGCTGCTAATACAGTACAAGATTTCTTGAGATGAAAGTTTTCTACAATTAGATCATGGTGGTGATTGCACAACTGTGTAAAAATACCAAGAACTGTTTTAAAAGTGCCATGTAGTTTAAATGTATACATTTGACAAATAAATGCTTTTGCCATACCATCATACTACTGCAATCCCTCTGTAGTCTTTGGGTGGTAAGTCATCTGCGGTTTTCAGGGCTGGAAAATCGAGGGCCAAATGTACCAAGCAGCAGAGGGAGGCCTCACTCCTTGGGAGGAGTGGTTTTATGGGCAGATCCACGATAACAGGGGTACAGAAAGCCTTACCTTCATTCTGGGATTTTTGAGGGGAGAGAACCCTGTCGTTTCTGAAAAATCAGCAAGGTGATTCTCTTCTCTAAAGGTCTCTAAGGTTATTCTGAATACAAATACTAATCTCGATCTGGCCTTTGCCAGTTTGTAGTAACGTAGAATGCCAGCGTTTCTCTCTGGCCTGCTGCATGTTAGCACAAAGTACAAAATCTGCTTAGCCAGCACTGAAGAATGAAAGCATAACCTTCAGGTTCACCCAGGGAGAAAGCAACACAGCACAGGCCAGCTGCTGCAAGGTCCCTGAGCACAGCTGTCCAGCCAGCTGCTAAGTTGGGCCGGAGGTCTCTCCCTGCTGGTGGTCACAACATTTAGTAGGGAGGGAGCCGGGCAGGGACTAGTTGGGGCCACCAGGCTTCACATAGTGCCTGCAGTGACAAATCTGAACTCTTACTGAGCTCTTCAGCTGCTGTTATTACCAAGCTTCCTCTCTTCTCCCCTTGGGCCACTCATTGTTTCTGTCTGATTTTTCAATTCTCCTCCATACTAGATGCAATTAAAGCAAGAGCTCCTTGCAGGCACCCCCTCAGCAATACTCAGATACCTAGTTGATGAGAATGTTTGAACACAGTTACAATATCCCTCCCCACGAAGAGCTGGATATGCTCCCTTTCTAAGCCAATAAATATCTTTTTATAAAAGGAAGCTGGTGATTCATTCTGAGTAATTGTCAAAGAATGAATCCCAAATGGATCCCGTTGAGTGTTGAGCCAATACTCTGCTACTGTCAGACACTTTGTTTTGCCAAAAGCAAGCACCCTTACTCTGTAATCACAAACACCACGGATGGGCCTTCCGATAAGGAGCCTTGCCAAAAGTTCAAATGTCTTTTCAAAAGCTGGCAACAATTCACTGTTGGCACTGTGCTCAGGCATTAAGACAGCGCAGACGCAGCTTGTACCAAGGAAATTTTACTCTGAAATTATCTCCTGAGAGCAAGTGTTGTAAAAGTATTTTATTAGTGGATGAATTGTGTGTGTGTGTGTGCGTGTGAGTGTTTGAGCACGTATGTGTGAGCACATTGCTAACTCACAGCTGCTCTAGGGTTGGAACACTCCCCCATGTGGCACTTTAATGTCCATTATAAAGACAGAAAACCAGTTTATTTACAGATTTTGTGGAGGGAAAGGGTTTACATTTCTGTTTTGCACAAGGCAACTGCTGGTGAAGCTAAGGGCAGAAATGCGCTTTTGAAAAGTGCCCCCAGAAACCAGTGTGAATAATTTGATGCTGCGTGTTCCACTGGAGGAACGCTAAATGCTTTCTTAGGAGGGGCTTAGTAATCCTTAAGGTGGGCAGAGTGTCCTTTGGTTTACTTTAGAAATGGGAAAACCAACTTAAGCCAAACAGAGATGATGTCACTAGATGGATCTACAGCAGGAATGTTTCTCCAACCTAGAGCAGAACTGGTGAGCACAGCAATTTCGAATTCTGTTCCTCCAGGTCTCACTGCTCTAGGAGGCAAGATGGCAAGGCCATGCACCTAGAGCAGTGGCTCGCCCCTGGTGGAGTGTGGTGGAGCTGACTGTAGACTTCTCCATTATTGCAATCATCACCACACAGGGAGAAGCAAATTCATGTCAGTTCTTGGGATAACAGAAGCCTAGTAACCTCAAACCCTTGGCAAGTAAAAGTGAGATTTCTTTATGGTAAATGACTGTGTGGCATAAATTGAAGGTAATTCCATCAAAATACAATTTCTAGAAATATAATAAGGAACTTATATATTTAACCGTATGCTGCCATTCTGTAAGTTAAAATGGTTAATAATTGGCAGTTTCATATGGTTTATTCTAAGAATTCTATGGAAAATTATTAATGTTGACCACATTCTCAATTGACTGTGAATATGCTCTAAAGTACCATGATATGCTTTCCTTCAAGGAAAAATCTTAAGACAGTTAACAAAAGTCACCACTTGGAAACCCTTCTTGACATCTCTTAACAATGGTGTTTTGTGAAAACAATTATATTCATCTAGTCTCTCAGCAACCACTTGTCAATCCTGTTTACCTCGTTTTCCCCCTCAGTCCTCCAGTGAAGGCAGCTTAGGGCTCATCAGTGTCTGGAAGGGTGCCATAAGAACATTCAGCGACACCACAGTTAAGCATCTCCTCTGCCCCCCAGAACCTCACAGCTCAGAATGAGGAGTGATCTGTAGAGAACATTTCCTCCTGGACATCAAATCACACATGCAGGTCCTGGTGCATCAAATCACACATGCAGGTGGCACACCTGACTGGAAAGACTACTGACTATACACGGCTGACCCTCTGGAACATTTCTATGAACTTTAAAAGTCATCTGAATGACAACTTCATTGCTAGCATTAACATGGGCACCTGTTACAGGAACATTCTTCAGCGACACCACAGTTAAGCATCTCCTCTGCCCCCCATAACCTCACAGCTCAGAATGAGGAGTGATCTGTAGAGAACATTTCCTCCTGGACATGACACCTGTCCTGCACGCTCCATGTCACTCCACAGCAGCATGTGTGTGCAGTAGCACCGTGCAGCAAAAGGTCACCCAGATGCAGATGACAGAAGGAAGCCTGGATCTGGAGAAACAATTCTCCCATCACACACAACCCCCATCTACCTGGTCTTGTCAGTTCCAGAACACAGTACAATCCCTTCACAGTAAAGGCATTAAAAACACAGCAACAGACAATTAAAGCACTACTGGAGGGCTTAGTGACAGGGTAAAGAGGTCAGCTTTGCGCATGTCCACACAGGACTGCAAGAGACTGGGACAGACATTCACCTTCCTCTGCGTCCATCTGATGGTAAATGAGGGTAATAAAAGCACCTTCATAATAGGGCTGTTGTGACCATGAATTGCATTTATGTATGTGAACACTGCCGGCAGCAGCTGCTTTGTGATCCTGGAAACAATGGGGCTGGTGCCTAAGCGTGGCAAGAAAGCCATCCTGTAGGGTCCTATGTAGACAGCACGGCCAGCGATTTGGGTCTTTGTAAGTTGCATCTGACCTGTGAGATCCTCATACTTTTACTGTGCCGTCAAGACCCCCGTAGAAATCTATTCTGGACACTAAATCATTCAGAAGCGTCCAGCTTGATCCTCTGCCCTCGGGACAGGAGGTGAGGAGCAGGCGGCTCAGACGCCCACAGCGGGCACTTTGTTTAGATGGGGGAGGAACTGGCCGTCACTAAAGATTAGCTTTAAAACCTAACTAATTTGGACTAATTGGAGGGAGGTGAGTCTGAATCACTTTAGACTGTGAGTTAGATCCTATTTTTAAATGAAATATAGTTTTTGCCTTCAAGCACTTACAGTGACTCAAACCAGGGTGCTTTAGTAAATGAATAAGAGTGATAATTAGCATCTTGTCTCTTTGGAGGGAAATGTAAGTACTGGAAGAGAAAATTTTTCTTTCACAAAAGGGCAAAAGTAAGCTCCGCAGCCCAACCCTGTCAAATTACTCCAGATTTTGAATCTGCGGGGGCGTGACTAAACCACGTGTAGATTTTCATGGCTGAGGGGGCGGTGGTGGAAACTTCTCAAGCAGTCTTTAAACGACTTTTGAGATGCTTGTGGCTCAGAGAACATGGGCCCGGTGACCTCCCCAGTTTCCTTCAAGCTCTTTGGGCGCATGTGGCATACAGCTTAGCTTTTTAAGCACAAGGAGACTCCTTTAAGGCCTTGTGTCCTAGTCGTGTCATTTATTACCACCATGTGGCAACGTGAGGGTATGAGACCCATAAATCATTTGGACGGGAAGTGACTACAGGCTGGATTAATTTCATTATCATCCTTAAGCAGATAGGTGTCTAGCAGGGCTGATGTCTCCGGTGAAGACTGATGTTCTCCCTCCGCCAACAGCCTCCCCCTGCACACAGCTGAGTGGTCCTTCATTTTCCCTGCAGTTACTTATCCTGCCTTTCCCTATTAAGAGCAGCCAGTGGCCACACCGCGTCCTGTTGGGCCCACCCCCAGGGGCCTCTGAGCAGGCTGACCTCGCTGGCCTGGCGCCTCCCCCTTACAGCTGAGCCAGACAAGTGTGAGTCGGGGCACCCACAGAGAGCTCTGTGACTGCTCCTCCTAGACTTGCCCAGACACAGAGAAAGTGAAGCTGCAGGGCTGCAGCCCTAACCATCGAATCGCTACCCTGGGCCTTGCTCAAGCACCCCAACTCTGGGAAGCACCCCAGCTCTGACCGCCTCCTAACCATTTAATCTCTCTCTGGTATCACTTCTTCAAGTGTGGCCCAGAGAGGATAATGCATCCTTTCAGAAACTTCCTTCGGGATTTTCACCTACTGCAAAAGCTGAGATCAAAAGCTCTTAGCAAGATGGTTGAAAGGTTGGAAAGTCTGAGCTGTGGTGTGTGAGCACAGGAGCAGGTTCTTAATCGCAGCATCACCCTAAGCAACTATTTCCAAGCTGAGTCTGAGACCCAGGCAGCCACAGAACCAAAATAGCCAAAATTAAGTTTTCTGTTCATGGTTGTTGTGCAGAAAGCTCTGCTCCAGGAACAGTCTCACCTGCTTTTGGGTGACGAAAGAGTAGGGTCTAAGGCCTGCCTAGGGCAGACATGTCTCCCGAGTGCCCAAGAGCCATGAAAGACAAGAGGCACCCAAACTTCCAGTGGCCTGGGAAGTGCTTCCTCCTGCTCTCTCCATCTCTTGGAAAAGCACCTGTCCTGCTGACCCGTGTCCCAGCCTCAACAGCCGCCTCACTCCAGTATCTCTCAGCCGCTCTCTGTGGGGTCCGTGCCTATCTCTGAATCCATCGCTTGTCTCCATTTCCAGAGACACTGTGTCATCTGGCCGCCATCATTCCTAACCCTGAATTGTAATGACAGTTTCTGATAGGTCCCTTTTTCCACATTTGCATCACTCTTATGTTGGGTCCTATCGATCAAACTGAAACCCTTAAAGGAACTGACTGGGCCTGTGTGATCTGAACGCCTCAACTCTTGCCTCCCCCCTGCCTCTCTGTGGAAAACCACAGTGGGAACTGGTCAAGCCACAGACCCTAAAGCCCAATTCTCGGGGGCCTCATCTTTGCTGGCCACTAACCAGCTGTCAGTAAACTTCCAGAAGCTTCAGTATACCCAAACATAAAGCCAGTTAATAATAGAACCTACCCCACAGAGCCACATTAGGGTTGAGGTCAAAATAAATGAATGCTGAAGTTAAGACCTGGCAGAGTAGGGGCGCCATGAACAGCTCTTACCAGCTCTTGCTACCACTTCCACCCCTCTCAAGTTTCAACTGGCCTCACAGTCTTGATACAAAAGCACATGCAGGTTCCTCTTCCCTGCTGGGTGTGCTGCACCCCACTGAGGCCTCATTATCTTCTCACTCCAGATCTCAGCTTAGTCGTATCCCTACAGGAAGCCTTCTCAGGTCTCCAGGCCACAGCACTGTCACACCGTAAGGTGCTGCAGCACGACTTGTCTCCTCTCCCCTGTCCACCTGTTCTGAGGACGGGAGCACTATTAGGTCAGGAACCTGGCCTTGATTCCTTCTGCTTCCCCAGCTCTTTGCACACAGTGGACACAGCAAAGATCTGTATTAGACCCAGAGTAAATACAAACAACAAAGACTTCAATATGGTTGTGCAGTGACTCCCAGTGTCTCAGCTGGTCCAGGCACCTCCTGCCTCCTTTCTCTCACCCTTGCTTTTCTAGCACTTGGCTCTCTGAGAGGTCATGTTTCCCCTCACCCACCTTGATCCAGCGTGTGGATCTTGGGTCAAAGGAACCTCTTCAGAAAAGGTTATACTGTGACCTGGTGAACACCATGGACAGTGAGAAGACTTAAGATTTGAATGCCTTTGTCTGGTGTCCACCTAAATGATAACTCTTCTGTCTTTGCTGAGAAACATGCTTCTGGAGGTGTGAGGAACTCATAAGGGCCACGTTTCCCACCTAAACTGCTGGGTGCATCAGATGACATGAAAACGGAAGCCCTTGGAGAGTGGAACACTAGACAGGTGGGTCACAAGACAGTATTCACGCGCTCTTCTCAACCAGCAAGTCAGGAAAACTCAAAACTTGTGCCTAAACAAGCATTCTGCACCGCATTCCAGAGAATGAATACAAGCCCTATCGAGTTCTTTAGCACATGTGCTGGCAGAGTAAGCACAACAGTCCTAAAAGGAAAAATGTACACGCTGCTATCGATGATCTAAGCCAGTTACAAGTTGGGGAATTTAATGTTGTTCTTACCTCATAGTGACCGACAGTATTTAGCTTGGTTATTCCATCTTCAAGGATCACAGAAGAACTGTCAATATCCAGAAGTTCTTTCTGTCTTGTACCCACTTGAAGCTCTGGAGGAAAACAGAGACATTCTGTTCTTAAAATTACAATGAAACATTTTAAATACGACCCTCTTCCTTTTATAGTTAATTAGTTAGAAATAGAGTAAAACTAAAGTGGTATCGATTTGTTTGCAGGGTTAGAGATCTATCAGACTGGTAGCCCAGTTTTGTTAGTGTTTTTAGGGCTCTCCCTTTTAAGACCACTCTCCCCTGAAGCTTTTACTGAGGCTGAGCCTGGAAGTGAAGCCGAATGAAGACAAAATAATGCATCTGCAGGGGACTGAGCTCTTCGGGAAGTTCCCCAAGCAAATCTGTATGCTCACACACGTGTTTGTGTGCTCGCCAGTAGGCGCCCGCCAGTAGGCCCTATACACTCTAGGTCCTTGTGTGCAGGCTGGGGAGGGGGATGGGCAGGGGTGGGGAGCACCAGTCCCTCTTCTCCGTGCTCAAACTCCCTTGCAGAAATGTGGCCAGCAAGTGTGTGTTTTCTTCTTGTGAATTTGCAGTATCTTATATATGTCAATTTAGTGACAACATGTTTAAAAATAGGGATACTGCAATATAAAAGCTTGGACTTCTGATTTCTCTGTTAAAAAAAAATAAATAAAAAAATCAGGCCATCTGGTAACACTGACCATAAAGGCCCACACAGCACAATCAGCTAAATCTAAGCTATGCTGCCTCCTTGGATAGGGCTGTAAATTATTCCCAATTAAGTCAGACCTCACCATCTCCTATTGTCCTAGGCAGGCCAACCGATACCCCCTATTTATGATACTTCCTGTCCCCTTGGGCATCCGGGTTTGTGAGCCTCTGCTATACAAGGACTGAGCACGGCTGCTTCTGGCATTGGAATTCAATACAGTTTATGGCTGGACTTTGGTTTTTGCCTTCAGTTTTCTGAGCTCAGCCTTGGAAGTCACTGAGGATGTCAGCAGACACACAGAAGCCTGGCATGGCTCATGAGCCACCCACTAATGACAGGGCACAGCGTGAGACTTCGGGTCAGCTGGTCCTGCTCCCTGCCTTCCCAAGTCAGGAGGCAGAACTCCTGATGGGAGCACACCCCAGTGCGGTGTGGGATGGTACACGGGGCGGCCGTGGCTGGGAGGAGACCCGGCTGTTTCCCCAGGGACATGTGCCCATCTGTGGTCAGAGCCGCAATCAGTTGTGAAAGCAGGTTCAGGCAAGGACGGTGGTCCTGGGTCACTTCATGGTCTCTGGCTTTGACCCGGCACCTAACCAAATGAATTCAAGTGACCGACAATCCACCCAACGTACATGAGGCCAAGTCACACAGTCACCACACAGTCTGAGTGGCCCCCCCACCCCCATTTCTCACCCCTGTCTCCAGGCTTTTCTCAGTGGCCTTTTACCAGGAGGGTGGACTTGGCGGGTGGGGGGAGTGACTTTAATTGCCTGCTTAGCGGAGGCTACAGCTGTACATCAGGGAGGTGAACCTTGTTACGCTGCCTGTCACTGCTACCATTTTATTCTTCTTTCCTGTCCCATTATCTGCAATAAAATCCCACGACAGTCTCCTGGGAGGGCTGCGTGGAGCTCAACTTTAAAATGTTGATGAACATTTGAGTGAAGTGGAGCCCTGTTAGCTCACGCACGCATATGCTCTCCTTTGCAGTATACCAATAGAGCCCGAAAATGAATTCACAGCAGATGCTGCTGCATGTTGGGGGGGTGGGGAGGTGGAGAGTCCACTTACTGCAGGACGTGATTAGCAGAGAGGAAGATGACCTTTCTGGCATGCTGGAGCTCACACCCCAAGTCTGAGCCACCCACTAATGACAGACTCAGTATCACAACAAACAAATCAAATGCCAGAGTGAAATGCAACACATACAGAGGGCACAGGGCTGACATCTTTCTGTACTTCTGATGCAAGGTGAATCTACCTAGTCTTGGGGTCAGCAATCTGGGCATCTCATTTACAAAATAACATTTAGACAACAGCAACTTCGAAGGTTTAAGCTTCCAGGACACGAGTTGGGATGCTCCCAGAACAACAGCGTGGCCCCCTGGCCCCTGGACATGCTCCCTGGGGACAACCTGGGTCACAGAAGCATCAGCAACAGAAGCGGGTGTGGCACCAAGAAGCCTGCTTGTCAGGCTGGGGTGAGAGAGCGCTCACGTTGCCTTACCCAGCCCGATTTCATTCAGCTGAAGTCCATAAGGAGAGCCGTTTTTGCTTAGGAATGCTTGGAAAATCTTTTCTTTGGCTTGGCCTATGGTATCACAATCAAGAACATTGACTGAAATATTCCGACAGACATCTGCACTCTCGTTTTCTGGGATTTTTTCAAAGACGACGTTTAATGCCTGCAAGAATACAAACGGGTTTCCAAGTCTGTTAGATAATTGCAATCTTAAAGGCATTCATAAAAGACACAAACCTCGGCAAGCCCTAGTAACCTCTGACAGCACATTAGCAAACACCGTATCCCATTCTACCGTCATCTTTTTTCCACAATCCATTCTTTACAGTGATAATGGAAAGGAAAACAAAGTTAAAATTCTCATTATAGAGCAAGCATTGTAGAAATATATGAGAATACAAATATACATATATACACATTTATTCTTAAAAATGATGATGTCTAATTCCATCCTCAAAAATCTTTCTTTGGAAAGGTTCTACCACAGATGAAGCCAGATTATCTTTTTTTTATTAACAGAAACACCGAGTCCCAAAGGTGAAGTTCCGGGTGACAGGAAAGGTGACAAGGTCCCAGCATTGATCGTGCTAAGAGGTCACTTTTTAATATTCCTCATTAATTACAGCAATGCTCACCTCCCTCTCCAGCTTAACATCTGCAGTCAGCTTCCCGAGCGCTCATTAAAACACAGAGATCCCCACCCTGTTCCATCATCATTCCTGCATTAATTACTTTACATTTCAGCGTTTTGTCAGTTAACAGTCTCCCCGTGCAGCAAAACCCTCAGAATCAGACAAACAGGGGAAGGAAGGCCTCTGAATGTGTGAGAACACACAACAAGGGGATACTTCAAACCGGATTTAAAAGCAATTTCGAATTTACTCCAAGAACAAATAAACAGACCTAAGACAACACAGCTTTACCTACTGTAGATCCTGCGAGAATGAATTCAGGAGAACAGGAGCACTGCTGGGTAATGAGCGGAACATACAGCTTGGATGCTAAGACAACTTGGTCATCCTGGGCCCCAGTGTGTGCCCTCACCTGACAGCTACCTGACAGCTTCCTGACGCAGGGGATGAGGGGATGTTAAACGATGACTGTATGGACGAAATGCTGAAAAAATCCAAACCTACATACTTGGAGAACAGCGGTCCTTAGGCTCAATCCCGCTTTAACATGAGATTGTGTGAAATTGTAACATGGGTGTAACAACCTGCGTTCTCCAAGTTGTGGAGATCAACGGGAAGGTCAGTGGCTCGGCACAGGGTCGGGCTCTGGGGAGCTCTAGGGTGACGGCAGGTTATTACACAGCACACGGCCAGTTTACACTGCTACCAGAGGAAGTCCGCACATGAGGGCCTGGTCGGCATCAGGGCGCCTTCATGTGGAAGCACCTCGGACTGACTCCTCTCTCCCCAGTTCTGCCAGAGCCGGGAGGGCGCCTCCAGCTGTCAGGACAGGGCAGAGCTTGCGACTCTGGGGCTAGCCAGCATCGCTCACCAGCAGGGTAGCCTCTGTAGCTCGCTCTCCCCTCACACCAGGCTGGACGCTCACAGGAACAACCTAGCGCCTGGGGCCCCATTCTGACCTTGTGTCCAGAGCAGCGTCTGGCCTGAGAGCACGTGGGTGACGTGATTTATGGCCCCTGGGGGGTTGGGGGGAAGGTACCTGACCCTCGGGGGGTTCTCAGGGCTTGTCCTCTCTTCACTGCCTTTCAATCTTGCCCTGTGATCCTGTTTGCACTGACAGCAGAGTAAACCTGGGTTCAGTCCTCATCACATGACTAAAGCTCAGAAAATGGAGTTCTGAGTTCCCGAACTCGGAGTTACAGGGGATCTCACGCTGCCTGTGGCCTTCCTCTAGGGCGCTCGTGCCTGCCCTCAGCACACGCCTGTTCTGCAGCCATCACCTACCAGCTCAGGAGCCAAAGCCTCTGCTCCCAAGCTCCCTCAGGGAATGCCCGGCGGAGGAGCAGCAGGGGGACACGGGTCTGGAAGCAGCGAAGCCCTGCGCTATGTCCTCACCCTCCCTCCGAGTGAATGGGGCCCTCTGGAGTCACTCACCAAGCACATTCCAAGGCAGGAAGCCAGTAACTTGCTCTGGACACAGCTAAGTGGCAGAGCTGGGAGAGCCTGAGAGCCTCTCAGCCAGGGGTCCCTGCCCACCTCAGTGGCCTCCCCTCTACAGGCAATGACCCGGCCTCCTGGGGTCCTGTCTCAGATGGGGCTGTAAGCAAATCCTGAGCTAGATTCCCAGCACAGATGGGGAGTTCAGGAGAGGATTGAGGGGTACGGGCTAGCCCTGCCCCCCCCCACTCTGTGCAGTCTGGCCCATCCCCCACATCTTTAGAGTGGGTCTCCTCTGGGTGGGCATAGTAGTGGTTCAGCAATTTCATGGGACTTTCAGAGATAAAGCGGAGAGGAAAGCGCCTTTTAATAGACACCCCAGTCATCCCAGCTTGTGTAATAGTTTTATAAGTATTTGTGAAATAACATTCTGTGACTACCTAAAGGGCACTGTTGTCTTTAACGAAAACACCTCTTTATAGGCAATAAACGTTCTTAAAAACATAACCAAAAGCAAAAAAAAAAAAAATCTTACTGGATGGAAAATAATGTAAATCTGCCAGTGGCTCCACAGCTAGATGGGTGAGAATAGGTAAAATGGTATTTTGTAGAGTCCGCAGGGAATTCTGAGAGTAAATTCAGACACAAATTGACTTGTGTTCGTTTTTTCTGCTGCTAATGCGTGGCGCTCAGTTTCCTAAAGCTTAAGTGTAGTCGGGGCTTTCGGAGTCTCCCCACCTCTTAACCCCAGCCTCCGGCTTGGCAGCACACGTGGGGGGCACCCCTCTTCCCTGGGGAGGCTCCACCTCTCCAGCTCCTGTTCAAAGCCTGCCTGAGCAGTCTTCCCTGTGCCCACCTGGCGTTAGGGAGTGGGACCTAGGAGCAGCCGCGGGGTGCAGCCTGCATGCTCGGTTAATTCACAGCTCGCCGCGGAGGCAGCCACCACCCGTGGGACAGTGTTGAGGCCGAGGGTGACCCTACACCCTCAGCAAGTGTGCACAGACCACGGAGAAGGCAACTGAGGGTCCTGGTCAGTTCTACACACCCCTGCACCGCACCCCCTCGCTCGCCCCAGCTGAGGGAGGGTGGGCAAATCGTCCAGCTCCTTGAGCCTTCAAATTCTCAGGGTTTCTACACAGAGCAGTGCCTGGCTCACAAAATAAAGACTTGGAAGAGCAGCGGATCACAGGGTGTTCCCTGTGTGCAAACACTGCGGTAAATGATACCTGTATTAGTACATCACACCTCAGAAAGAACCTGAGACAGTCTGTGCCTATCCCCTTTTGCAGATGAGACACTGAGCGGTTACATAAATCGCCCAAGATCACCAGGCAAGAGCATGGGCGCAGCAGGTCCTGTTTCGCTAGCTCTGTGCATGTCCTTCAGCACTTGGTGATCCTCAAAACAGGAGAATGTTTTGCTGAGCCGTGATCAAAATCTGAGGGAAATTCCATATTCAGGAAAGGCTAGGGTGCTGTGAAACGTGCACTGGCCTCTCCCCTGGAAACCTGCTCCGTTCTGTTAAGAGGAACTGCTCTGCTTTCTCCACTTCCTTGACGTGAACGTGCCAGCAAAGCTGTGGTGACGGCCACGGCTGGCTGTCCAGGCGTGTGTTATCACGCCTTTTCTGCTAACAAGTCAGTCATGGCCAGCAGGAGCCTGCCTACATTAGGAAACAGGACTGGTAACAGATCAGTTCTCCCTCCCCAGAGACTGGCCGTGTTGCTTGGATTTGGCCAACGATATAAAGGGAAGGAGTTTCTACTTTAGTAGGCGGGAGGAAAGCAGTGTTAGGAGCTGTGGCAGCTACTTTGTGACTAGGAGGAAGGGCCTGGCGCTGAGAGGAAGGAATGCAGGGGGAAGCATCCCAAGACTGACTCACACAAGGGATGGGTAAAAGGGGCCAGTGCAGCAATTAACAACAGCCAGAAAATCAAGGTCCTCAGGCGCTGATTCCCAGGTCCCAGCAGGTAACAGACTGTTGGGGGCTGTGTCTAAAGCTCACACCCAAAAGGTAAAAGACAAGGACATGGAGATGAAGCTCCTTAGGCAATCTTCAGGCCTTTCAAGTTCTGCATAGATATTTAAATCAGAAACTGAGTGCCAGCAAGGATGGGCTTCTCCCTCCCTACTGAAAGAAGATGATAAAACCAAGTGTGACCCCAGAAAGGGGCAGCTCTTCCTGCCTGCTTGCACCAAGGCAAGTGTCCTTTCCTCCCTGTCTCTTTCTAATAAACTTCCTCTTTAAATACAACCGAGTCTGTCTCGTGGAGAATCTCACTGTGTGCCACTGAAAGGGGAGCTCTGGTGAAACCTTTCCCAGAGTGGACCCAAGGACCCCGGACTCCAAAAATGACATCCTGATGTCCAGCTTTGGGGCTGCACTTCCACAGGGTCTCCTCTCAGATGCATTACTTCAGGTGACACTGGTCAGATTTTCTTAAAGCTGAACGCACTCAGCCTGACACCTTTGTTGCTGTCAAAGGAGATTATTTACTGACACCATCAACCTGGCACCTGTTATATACCCAGCACTGTAGATGACACAAAGTAAAGTATGCTGGGACACATGAGAACATGGGGCCCTGTGGGGTGAACATGTGACCACTTATATCAGGGAGAGAGTAGGAGGGTCAGCAGGAGCACCGGAAAGGCTCAGAGATGTGACCCTTAACACGGAGGAGTAAAGAAGTCAGGGAAGGCTTTGGGACCATGGGGAAGCTTGGCTTTGATGCTGATTATGGCCAGCAGCCAGCTTTAACCATTTTTTTTTTTAAAGATTTATTTATGCCTACAGAACTGGGGTACAGGCCAGAGGCTCAGGGGCAGCAAGAGGCTTCACCAGAGACAGAGTGGGGAGCAGAACAGGCAGATTGACAAAGTACACTGCTGAGGGGAGCAGCGGGAGGGTCAGGAGAGGTCTGCCACGCCATGTGGTCACCTCCGGGGCAGGCAGGGTTCGAACTCATGCGGAAGTGGCTTAAGCTTCTTAGTGCAGTGCTTTAACCCAATGCACCACCAGGGAGGGCCCAAGCTTTAATCTTTAACTCAGTCCACCAGGTCAGGAAGTCTGGAAAAACAATACCACTTCCTT